TTTTTGCATTGTACATCAATTTTTGGGCGACAGGCCAAAACAAAGAACGTTGTCACATTTTTGTGAAGTGGAAGAAAAATGTTACGTGGCTTACAAAAAGTACAGATAATGATCAGAGAAGTGCAGAACATCAAAATCCCTGGACTAATACAGCCATTTTGTCAATGTTTAGTGGAAAACGGTAAACATGCAGGATCCTGAAGAACAAGAGCACACTCGACAGATCAGTGATGAAAGTGAGCAGCGGGGATTTGAAGGAAAAATTGTCAGAGGCTGAAAAAGCATGCTGGGGAGAAACAACGCTCAGAAGTTTTAGTTTTTAGCTGCAATTGCAGTGGAAGGAAATTCAACAAGTACTGACCCAAACACACTGAATGCAAATAAGTGCCACACTTCATATTTTTATTTAAGATATTCTGAAAACGATTATTTTTTTCCCTCTGGCTTCACTGTTTTGCTGCTTTGCAAAATCAAATCTAAACAAAAGGTATAGTGTGGTTTTGGGGTGTAATGTAAAATAATGTGAAAAATTTCAAGAGTGATAAAAATGTTCTCTTTTCAAATTCTTACACTGTGAAAAAAAAATTAGTGCACATTCTAACACGTGTTTTAAATTCTTTGGTTTGTGATCGTAACAATAAAAAAAAAGGTACATATTTTCCTGGACTATCTAATCAAGCACCATATATCCTGGATCCTTTTCAAATTGGTGAGATAAATCATATCTGCATCTGCTTAAGTACAGGCTGGCGTCTGAATCTGTCATTGGGTGAGAGGTGGACTTCACCCTGGACAGGAATCATACAAATGTTCAAGTCTTGGAACGTCACGTTTTATTTCAACAATAAACATCTCGCCAGATAGAATGAAAACCCAGCAGATGTGGAAACTAAACCTCACTTGAAATTGTCCAATAGGCTGGAGGTGCAAGACCAGTTCAGTGACTTTGAATGGGCAGCAATCAAGCAAGTTAAGAGGGTGGAAAAACATTTTCCAGTGTTTTTCAAAATGTGACAGTGACATTGTCTGGAGGGGCGCGACAAATTTGGCAGCCGATGCAGAGAACACACATCTGGTTGAGTTGACATGTGATAATATTTAGTGAACAGTTGGATCAGTGTTATCTCGAAGCTGTAAAAAAATATATAATTATTTTTTTTTCCCCCATTTTGACTCATAACTGTTCCTAAGTTTAACATGACGTTTTCATTCCTCGCATTAGGTGAGGCGTTTCCATGTTTTCTAATTCCGCACTCCTGCGAGTCGACTCCTTCCTCCTGTCACTGTTCCCGACTCTAACAACGCAATGCTTTGTTTCAGGCGATAATTGGCTCCTACTTCCCACTGTCATCCTCGCAGATGCTGAGTACATTGCCACTAAACACCGACTCGCTGCAAACTGCCATCATTATCAGCCCGCTGACAAAGCCTTCTTGACAGCACAAAAATACGGCGGCGGCGCCGAGGAAAACAACACATGCCTGTGAAATATTTCAGAAATGATAAAAAAAAAAGTGAAAAAAAAAAAATCCCAAAGAATATTTTATCCCCACCTCACCCCGCCCCCCCAACTTACCCCACCAGAATATTTTATCATAAATTTCCACCCCACTGGATCCGCGCACAACAAAGTTATTTCCTCTTCTAGAGATCTATGCATGGACCGCCGTGCCATTGGGAATGCACAGTCTTCTCTCACCTGTCTCAGGTGATGGAGGGGAAAGAAGAAAACAAATTATCACTTTTTTTTTTCTTTTCTTTTTTTCTTTTTTTTTTTTTTTTTCAGCCTTCCTAGGCGTATCGTCAGTGTTTCAGTAACCATGGTGAAGTCTGGAAGGGTTGTCAGGAACTGCGGCTGCAATCACCTTCCCCTGGCGGTGGCATTGGATTGGAGACTCGCAAGACTTACCTTGGCAGAATGAACAAGGAGTGCAGAAGGCCCAAGGATGCCTCACTGTGTCAGCTAATTCTTTTTGCTGCAGTGATACAATGATGTTTGGCCTGTCGGGCTCCTTTTCCTGCTCCTCCCAAATCAGTAAAAGCGAAAAAAAAAAAAAAATTGGCTATGTTGCTTTGTTGAGGATCCAACTAGCAAATAGCAGGTAACATAAATTATGCTGCGGTCCTGGATGAGATATGATAGTTTTGCTTTCATTCGCAAGAAGATAGATTTCAAAGTCAGGCATGTATTTACAAGCCATAGACATGATGCCTATGCAACAGATGATTGGAAACAGGATGTGCTTAAAGAAATCTGTTCAGAAGGGGAAGTAAATGTTAGACGCATGAGTTTATTCTAAGTTTCTTCAAGTCTGAAGTGGCGGCATCAAATCTCTGTGGATGACTTTGCTAAAGTACGACAAGTGAAATAACCAAATTGGTTCTCCTCCAAACATTCACTTTTTTTAAAAAAAAATAAATAAAACAATAAATATGACAACTGTAATGTAATGTGACTTTGGTCTTTTCTCATTCTAGGGTGGAAAGCATATTTTCTTTTCATCTCCAAAGTGAAATATTTTAACACATGACAATAGAAGCAGGAAAAGTGGTTGTCATGCCAAAAAAAAAAAGAGTCTCAACAATACATCCCAAAAATCACATTACAGAATTTTCAGCAGCACAAAGGCCATTTTCTCAACATTATGCAGCTTCAGAATGCAAAAAATTAAGCTTTGAGTTTTACTTCAGGTTCACTGACAGTAGAGGGAGGCTTACAGGGAGCTAAATGTGTGTGTGTTTTACTCTCTTATACTCCCACCTGCTTGAGAGGCAAGGTGCTACAGGCATTGCTGGAATGTAAAGCCAGGCTGTTCCTTGCAGATATACAAACTTATGCTTTCATGCCCAGCCTCATCAAAATGGCCCCGTTATAGGCTGCTATCTCCTGGGACTCGCTTCTGCAGTACAGAAGGATTAAACGCTTTTTATGAAGCATTTTTCCTCAGCCAAAGGTGTCTGCGGGAGCAGCGAATGTATAATTTTGCAGAACAACGGTGGACTTGACTGCGTGTGGCGCTTTGGCACAGGATGAAATACCTGCATCCATTGTGGTGAATTCATTTACCGCCATAAAGAGATGGTTATTTTTCTGCAGGCTGAAATAAATAAAAAATAAATAATAATAAAAAAAGACATTTTTCCCTATTGTATTGAAAATCTAGTACATTTTTCCTGTTCTCCTGTTCTTTGTCCTCTGGGCTGCATTGGTAAAAAGTTACATGTGGTTGTTAGTTCACAATCTGTGACAATTAACTATCCCTTTGTCCCCCTGTGTGATGAATTGCATATTTAAGCGGGCCATTTGTCAGAGGCTTATCTTCAGGAAAGGTTGAATTATTCATCATCAGACAGTGCTGGAAAGGAGTGGAAGACAAACAAAGATTACGTCTTCAGATATGCTATCTCGCGCCAGGGTGTGTTTGCATGTGGCCCACCCTATGGACATTCGTGAATGCTTGGTGTCTAATCACAGTGTTCTCAGGGGATCTACAGACATTCCTGAGAGATATGTTCAGTCCAACAACCACAACGCCATGTTTCACAAAGACAAGTTAAAGGAGAATTTATGTATATATATAAAAAGAAAACTTTTAGCACATTTTGGAAATAAACCAAACCATTTAAAAGGGGGTGTATAAATATAAAAGTTTCCTTTTTAAGCCTCTGTCTGGTCACGTGGTTAGGAAGCCAGGCAGCGAGAGTCAAGGTTATGACCCCGGCCCGTCAATGAAAGAGACGGTTTGGACTTCCTGTTTCTTCCTCTGCTCTTTCCGCTCTTCATCAATGCTGCCTATAAGCTCTTCTGAGCTCCACGGCCGTAGGTCAGGGATTATTTGAACTTTATACACGTGAATCAGCGTTCAGTAAAAATGACCGATTGTTACCATGGTTACACATCTAAACAACTGTTCAAAGACTTAAAAGAAAAATAAATAAATAAATAAAAGCAAGAATTGTTCCAATTGCACAACATCCAAAGCATAAGAGGACAGTTCTCATAAAAGCAATGTGAAAGAAGTATTGGCTTTTAAAAATCTGTGTTCATGTTTAAACAAAGTTATGACAAAGTGTGCTTATATCTTTCTCCAATATTTAATGAATAAATCATTATTGTTATATTTGTACAACTGTTTAGCAGCTTTTGGAATTTCTCCATCCATGGATGTTTGAAGACATGTCCGTCATTTAAATGTCCGTCTCCAGATCTGTGACGTGGGCAGAAAAATACTCAGAAAGAATCGTGGTTGTAGTTACGGCAGGGCTGGTTCGACAAAATGCCACTCTAGAGGGACTGCGCACAAATGCAGACCACACTTTTCAGATTTTACTCCCCAAAGAAGTATGGTCAAATTGCCGTTATATGAGTTTTTCCTTCTACTGTACAGACGCATAAAAAAAACACAAATTCCATAACAAATGTTATGTCGTTTGGGCTTTTTAAACGAATATATTTTATATGTAAAAAAGAAAAAAAAGAAAACCAACAACAACTTAACATTACAACATTAATTTACTACTTTTTGAGTTGAATTCAGTGGACGGTCAAGTACAGGTGGCTTCTGAAAACAGTTGAATTTCTTAGTATTGAATTTTCTTATGTTGCCTTGAAATTTGAAAGCCTGACATTTCTTAGAACATTGTATTTACAACAAGCCTATAGTGCAACTACTGGGCAGAAAATAATTGTGATCTTATTAAAAGTCTAAAGAGAAAAGAAAAGCGATTACAAATTCAGAGGCCGTCTTAATTTTTGCTCTGGTAGAAAATAAAAACACTGATGCAAAATATTTTATTTATTTATTTATTTTTTAGTTTTACTTTTTTAGATGATTTCAAGATTAACGTTTTTTTATGAACTCATAAATCCGCTCTCGGTTTGTTTTTCACCTCATCTCATCAAGTGTGACGTGAATCAAAGTGCTGTCCGTGGTGCTGACACGCGTGAAACGTTTTTCGTGAGAACGCTGCTGCCATCTAGTGGTTGTCAAGGAGAGGCACGTTCCGGAACAAAAGCGTTTGTTCCTACCCGAGCCACAAAAACGGTTGCGCCGTTAGTGAGGTTTGCTAACGTTGCTCGTTTCAGTTTTGGTAAGTCTGTATCTCTCCCTTTTTTTCTTTTTTGTCTTGACGAATAAACTAAATTATACGTAGAAGCATACAATATTTTATTTTCTATAAATAGTGCCAGGGTTGAAACAATTCGCGGTATTTAAGTGGTACCGCGAACGTTTAAGCTAACCTCAAGTATTGAAGCTAACCTATGAATGTCCTTCGCAGCGCAAAGTTGACGTAATCGCTGTCACAACTGGCAAAGTTTGTATTTGGAGTCTTTATTGTTAAACTGCTGCGCTTAAATACATAATTGACAATATAACACGCCTGACGTCAGATGAGTTTAATGACCAAATCACGCTCTAATGATGCACGTCTAATCTGACTCCGTTTATTTCCGTTTGGTTTCTGTGTCGATCTGCTGCTTTTTCGCCGCCTCTTCCTCCCTCCAGCCAATGGACTGACATTGGCCAGCACAGATGCTGCTGAAGGATCTGCCCAGAGACGCCCTGCTGCGGCCCTTGTCCAGGAATGAAGTCATTGGCCTGTTGGTGAGGTTGAGCATCTTTGGTGCTGCCACATACTACAGCATCAAATGGGTGGTGGACGCCATGGACCCCACCTCTAAGCAGAAAAGCCAGGCCAAAAAACGGGTATTATGTCTTTTTTTTTTCTTTTTTTTTTTATTCAAATGTTAAATTTAGGTTCCCTTATTCTATGGTTAACAGTAATCACCCTTTCTTTTACTACAATCCCACTGAGTGTTTATTTCTTGTTCAATCTCATTCTCATCTTCTCGTCTCGTACGTCTTTACCGGAGGTGCCAATAGCTACAACCGTGTGACTGTTTCACTGTAACCTTGACAACGCAGCCTATGCTGTCAACTCTGGAATCCTGTTGTCTTTATCTGACTTGCATGTCCCAACTCCAGGCAGAGGAGCTGTTGAGGAGAATAGGCGTGGAGGGCGTCATACTGACTGAGTATGAGATGAACATCGCCACTCTCTTAGTCGATCCCCAAACTATCAAGGTAAAGTTCTCCTTCTGTTTCTGTAGCACAGGGACTATTAAAGCCGTATATTTATTTAGTCTTTAATCTTTCTGTATCATTGTGCTTTCCCTGACTCTATGTTTGTGGTTTTTTTTGTTTTTGTTTTGCAGGTGTCTTGGAGAGATATAGCTGGTCTGGATGAGATTATTAATGAGCTTCAGGACACAGTTATATTGCCGTTTCAGAAAAGACACCTTTTACCCAACTCTAAACTCTTCCAGCCTCCTAAAGGTAACCCAAAGTACATTTAAAATGATAATAAGAATCATTTTAAAGGTCACCACATGGCTCAGTGGTGGAGCAGGTGCACCATGAGCAGAGGCTGCAGTCCTCAAAGCAGTTGATCCTGGTACGATTCCCGTAGTAGCTTCTCTCTCTGCCCTTGTTACTGTCCAGCTGTTAATGAAAGAAGCCCACTACTTTCACAAAAACACATATTCTAATGCATATAACTTGCTATGATAAAGCCAAATGGAATTAGTTTTATTACTGATTTTATCCTTAGTTTGCTTGCAAACATGTGATAGAGTCCGATCACAAGTATTCTACACCTCAATATAATAAACAACCATTGTCTATGAAAAGATTTAAAGTTGTCGCCATCTTCTGAGCAAACTTTGTTAGTTTTTATCAAGTTATAAAGGATGTGAAAAGTGGAAAAGCTGCTTAAAACACCTTTCTTCACAATGTAGAAGAGAAGATGTTCAGTATTTACTTCTCAAGTATTTCTAGTCACTCAGTTCTGACTAGACATGCAGTCACAAAAAAACATTCTCCAAGTTCTCTTGGACGTTCAAAATAATAATAACTAAGCTATTTGAATTCCTTTTATAATCCTTCTGGTTCAGTCAGCTTAATCTCAAATGACCAGATTTATCCATGTGATGTGGCAGCAGTGCATAAATTGTAGAGGGAGGTGTGTGGAGTTATTTCACTGTTTGGCACACCAAGCTCCAGAATGGCTTAAGCTCTAAATTTAGCTGCTGCTGAAATCTAGTTCAATCCTTCAGCTGACTTTTATTTATTTAGTTTTTTTCCCTCTGATTTATCTTTTGTTTTTTACAGGTGTATTATTGTTTGGTCCTCCGGGATGTGGGAAGACCATGATTGCCAAGGCAACAGCCAAAGCCTCAGGCTGCAAGTTTATCAACCTGCAGGCCTCCACGCTGACAGACATGTGGTACGGAGAGTCACAGAAACTGACTGCCGCCGTCTTCTCACTGGCCGTCAAAATCCAGCCTTGTATTATTTTTATTGATGAGATTGGTGAGTTGTATGGCGCATTGGTACATTTAGATCATTGAGATCATTAGCAGAGCTAAAGAAGAAGGTCAATTTCTTTTTCATTTTTGTACTTCATTCTTTATGTTTTGTAGCTGCAGTGCAAAAGCACATAATCTTACCAAATGTTTTTGTCTAGTTTTTGGTGAAAATATCTTCTTAAACTTGAAATAAGACTAAACTAATTTACAAGTAACTTTTCAGCAAGATATATGGGTTAGTTTTAAGTAAATAAATCCTTCGTATTGATGAAAAAGTGCTAGGTCTGCTGACAGATTATTTTTACTTGTAACTTGTACTGGAAAAAATGTCTTGTGATAATTAAAATAATCTGCCAATGGTACAAGTAGTTTTTTTTATCAATATTAAGAAATTATTTTCTCAAAATAATATCTTATATCCATCTTAAAAGTTACTCAAGTTGTTCTAGTCTTATTTCAAGATATTTGGTCTAGAAATACTTAGTAACATTTTATGGTTTTGCAGTTGACGTTCACTGTGAGTTTTACTGAAATGAATGTGCGTCTCGTCTTTTAGAGTCATTTCTAAGAAACCGCTCCAGTCTGGATCACGAGGCCACAGCCATGATGAAGGCCCAGTTCATGAGCCTGTGGGATGGCCTTGACACTTCTACAACCACCCAGGTAAAGTTAGGCGTCCTCAGTTTGCCGAAGCATCCTCTGTGTTAAAGGCACAGTGCGGGAATGAGCGGCTGTGGCTCTGTGGGACTGCAGGTGATGGTGATGGGAGCCACCAACAGGCCGCAGGATGTCGATCCGGCGATTCTGCGAAGGATGCCTGCCACGTTTCATATCGGCCTGCCGGTCAGTATACACACGGACTTGGGCTGGGTACTTATTGTATCGTTTATTGTTTATCGTGATACATTTCTTATCGTGATAAGAATCTTGATTTATTGTTGTCACAATAAATTCTGATTAATAATGTTTAAGACTCTGCAAATCTGTCTTGACATTTTTTCCCACTGTTCAATGAAAGCAACAATAAATAAATACCACTACATATGAAAATACAGTTGTTGTGCGCAATTTAGTGAGAGAAATCACACTTCTTTATGTGACTGGTGTCCTAAAGTAATTCATTGCAATGCGGGAATGTTTCTCAAGAGTAGTATTTGTGTTTGTGGGACTATAATTGATGTGACGATGATTGCTGTCAAGACGTTCCCTTAGTCTAATTGCGTGTATATTCGGCTAATTTTATCATTATGTTCTTGTAATTAAAAAAGTGTTCATGTAACCAGGCTTTAATACTCAATTATACAAGTCATGAAAGGGATGATTGAAATAAAATTCATATTTTTGAAAATATTTTCTGTCAATTTGAGTTTCTGTTTAAGAAAAGAATGTGAGAAAAAAAAAAACAGTTGAAATCAGAACTGGTCTGAAAAAATAATTTGAGATTGTATCTTCAAGCCAAATGGCTGAGCCCTCATTTCTACTTTATGTACATGACAGTAGGTGGGGGACTTCTTTTAAGGGCATGAGAGTAAAGGGAACTGAATGCTGCATCCGTACTTTTCAGTTATTTTTTACTGTGGAGTAAAATTATCATTATGCTTCCATCTACCTATGAAGTGCTGCCTTGTGTTTGCAATTCTAATCACATACAATTCGAAATTTGTGATGATAACTTGACAAATACAGGAAAAGTTTAGGTTGTCAGGATACTTTTGCATGACTATGCATACTTTGATGATTTATTTGTTTAGTTCAGTGATCTCTAACCCAAAGCTAACTTTGTGCTTCTGTCACTGCAGAATGCAAAGCAGAGAGAAGACATCCTCCGGCTGATTTTAGCAGGAGAAAATGTGAGTTGTGATTTTTTTATTTTTTTCCCAACATGCCATTCTCTTTAGTCACTTTGTCACAGCTCTGTTTTCTTTTCCAGTCACTATATAAAAAAAAAAAAATCCCATCAGGATTTAAAGCCTTTTTTCACTGACAGACAAAAACATAGCCTCAGGACGGCCGAGTGACAAACAGGATGTAATTTTCACAGCAGCGTTTGTCCTTCTGTCCCGCGCAGCTGAGCAACGCCATAAATCTGAAGGAGATTGCAGAGAAGACCGACGGATACTCGGGCAGCGACCTCCGAGAGCTCTGCCGCGACGCCGCCATGTACCGGGTCAGGGACTTCGTCCGCAAGGAGCAGATCAGGCAGATCGCGCAGCAGCTGCAGAGCTGCGAGGAGGAGGAAGGGTAAGTCCCACACCTGCACTTAGCGTGTCATAACGATGCATGTCAACAGTCCTGTGATTCATGTGCTGCAGTCATGTGATTCAGATTTTGTAACAAAACATGCGTAAGGTTAACTGATGTCTTCAAACTGTGCTAAAAGCCATGAAAGTAACAGCTTAGCTGAACAGTTCAAAAACAGGATTTCTCCATCTTTTGGCTCAGATCTACACCCGTGACAGGACTGGGTTAGTTTTGTTCATTTCAACCACTTGCGAAAGTAATAATAATAACAATGAATGTAATGCATAGATTAGCAGTCCAGCAGGAGCAGCAAATTATCCTCTCCACTCTGTTAAATCCACTTTAATTCACGCTTCCTGCTGCTGTCAGTTTGAGCCTGCCATTCAATTAGAGGAAGCTGAATTTCGTGTCAATAAATCACTGCTAGCTAGTTTTTCTTTTTGTTTGTTTGTCACGTTTATGTTGAAAACATTTGAAAACACACTGCTGCAGTGCGGTAGAGATGTTTGCCTATAGGAGGACCTTCCCACAAGCCTGTACAGGGTTATGAAAGTGTCCAGTACTGTAATACATGCCATACTTTGTTTTTAATATCAGTATTACTTGCAAGCTTTAAATCACAGCATTAGAATATATTTATGCACCTTTAAAGATACAGATTCTCTAAAAAAACACACACAAGAAAAACTTGGTGTTAACAGCTGTGAAAAGAAAAACAAGCAGTCTGTAGCGCTGTACTCCAGTGGAGGGCAGCCTAAGCTCTCGGCAGCAACAGCGGATTGTTGTTCAGCCGTTTCCAGTGAGGCAGACGCTTGTTCCAAGTGCTTATTTCAAAACGGCCCTAAACCTTTACACTACTGCTGTAATCACTATTTGAAACCCTTTTTACCGCCTGGACAGAAAACACTCATATCAAGCTTGTTAAAACTACTTTTTGAAGTGATTCTCAATAATGGTGGGCTACTGGTGTCTGAGCTTTTCTTTCTTTCTTTTTTGTTTTTCTTTTTCACATTGAACCATGGCTTTAGATATGCTCTTAAACTTTTGATCAACTCATGACACTCAGTTTGAATTTTAAAGGGGTTGAATGAAATTGAAATTGATAAGGCCATTCTATTGCTACATTGCATTTACCTTTGCTTTCCCTCATGTTTACGATTTTGATTGGGGATATAAGTATATAAATTTGGAGTCCACAGAATACGAAGATCTAAAGTCAGGAAGGCTGAACGGTTTTAGTTCCCTGTTCATTTAAAGGCAAATGAAATGTAGTTACCTTTTAGTACTTCGCATTAGATAAATGATGTTTGCTTTTGTGGTTTGTGAGAAAAAATATCTTTGTTATATATTTAATGTGACAAATGCGATGTAGAGTTATTAAACATAAGATTAATGAGTAAACTGATTTCCTTCTATTGGTTTTTGCTTTGGTGTTTTAAAACTTAGATTTTTCCAACTAAAGGTCCTGTGTTACTACTTGTAGAAGTAAAAGTTCGATTTGTTTTATTTTTATTTATTTTTTTGGCACTACTGGACTTTATTGCCAGTTACCAGGCAGGAGCGACCAGAGTTGGCAGGGGAGGTTGCCATGGTTTCTGACTGGTTTCTGCCCGCATTGCCAGCTTCAGTCTGGTTCCACCATTGATGACGTCTTCTTGTTTTATTATCAGCTACTTTAGCTGCTTATTCCTTTGCCTCTGAATGGATGGGGTGCTGGTCATTTCACCTATTCAAACCTGTTGGAGTTTCTATCAACAACAACCAAAAACTCGTTTTAATTTTTTATTTTTTTTTAATCTCTTGTTGATAATCCTCCATTCCCCAAATGTTTTTGTCTCAGAGGAAAAACAGGCCTGATGCAGAGGGGACTGAAAAAGGAGTTAAAGATTACGTCGTGATTTTTGGCTTAATAAATGTGAAGTTTACGTCCAGCTGAAAGTGTATTCTTGAGACTGGATCACCTTAGCAGAGAGAAAATGCTAATCTAATCCTTGTTTAAGAGGAAATAAAACCAACCTCGAGTTGGTAACGTCTCCATTGCTGTTGATCAAATGACACCTTTGGTGATTTTCTGCATTCAGTAAGATTTTGTTTTTCATTAATATTTCCATTACTGCTTCCATTAACATGGTGACTTGACTGCCTACAAACAAAACATCAGCATCACACAGTTCTGGAAGTCATTAAGCCAAATGGATCTGGTCGACTTTGCAAACGGTTTTTGCAAGATCTTATTTGTGTAGCCCGGTTGCTAAGCAACCACTGAAATCCCTTGATGAAGAGAACATTATTGCTGAAGGGGAAAAAAAAAAAAAAAAACTATTTTCTTTTCAGAGCTCCATACATGGAGCGTTCCATTATGGCAGCAAGACGCTTGTGGTGTCAAATGCTCCTTTGACACCACAAGCTTCTTGCGTCCTTTGCACACACAGACGGCTCTGATCATCTATTCCTCATTGCACACAGTAGCACCACAGACTTTCACATTTACAAGTTGGTTTGCTTTATTAACACAAAGATTCAGGATTACAACATTTATTAAACTGGTCATTTTCTTGAGAACATAAAACATGGCTAGAAGAAATACGTCACTTAACAAAAACCAGTAAGAATTTGTGTTTGCAGTTTGTCCAAAACCATGTTGGGGACACAGGATGGAAGAAAATGCTCAGTGTGGCAGAAAACTAACACCACGCATAACCTTAACGCGCATCTCCATGCTGAAATATAGTGGTGGGAGCATCATGCTGCAGAGCTTCTTTTTTTAAACAGTGAAATCTGCAATAAATTGTATAACTTTGAATTATATTAATGTGTTAGAATGACCTAGTTAAAGTATGGACCAATTCGGCAATTTTACTTTTTTCATTTTTAAATTATGGATGATTTTTTTTTTTTTTTTTTTGAGTGCACTGATATGAAAAGAAAAATTAACCTCACAGTTCTTTGCTGCATTACCAAACAAATACCGCAGGACTCTCCCCGACCCCCGCTCCAGGAACAGAAACGGCAACAAGACAGACATAACCATCGGTTCAGAACCTGCCTTGTTTGAGTGGAGAGAGCGGTACCAGTATGTTTAGAAATGGCCGATACCGATGTTAACGCCGATAACTCGTGCCTCGCTAATGACTGTCTTTCAATTCCTCTGTTACGTTCTGGTTTGTGTGGCCTATAAATCACACTGAAGGTTGTTGTAATTTGTGACTTACTATAAGAAAATGTTTAGTATTAAAACTGATGTTCGTTTTACTGTATGCAGAAGATCTCAGACCTTCATACTTTCTCCATCTCAGGCCCGTTGACGAGGATCGGCTACGGCCGGTAACGCAGCTGGACCTGCTCTTCGGCCTCGATAAGATGAAGGAATCCAAGCAGGCCACGGTTGCTACCCTACCCCTCGTGGCAGAGGTTCCTCTGGACTGAGCGCCGCTAACAGGGAGACTGCACTCACCTTTTTAGTGGCTACGGGTTCCAGCTCTGAACGCAGACCACTAGGAAGGTGCCTTTTGAAAGGCAAGAGACAAAAATCCAGTTTTTTGGGCTTGGTAGAATCCTGCAGGCTATGTTAATACAGTATTGAGCATACCCCTCATCATCTTCTCCACCCACCCTTACATGTGACCAGGTACAATAAATGAGAACTGAGCAATTCCAGCTGCTAGCTTAATGCATGAGAAAACTGTCGATCTTCATTTGTCTAAGACCGCATCAGTGATAATTAATATTTCATAGAAGGTCAAATGCCATTAAATGCACAGAGAGAGAGAAAAAGAGCGGCTGATAAACACGCGACCTTTAGGCACAGTGGCCTTTTGAATCAGCCTTATTTTTCTAAATTGTCAGATTGAGCGCAAAGGCACCTTGGAAAAAAATGAATCGAGGAAATATTTTTCAGTACTAGCGTTTAGAGATCAGATCTAAAATTGGCTTAATTTCCAATTCCTAGCCCTTTTATCTCACCAAATTGGATGGAAAGTGTACTGACTGAATGGTTTTAAAAATAATCTCAACATGGAGTTTAATCCATATTTTCTATTTGTGGATTACATAAACATTTTTATTAATGTTTTCAAGAGTTACGTCTTTGTTTTATATGGTAAATCCATACATGTAGAGTCAAATTTGAGAATCAGCATTTGAGACGTAGAACTCGTGCTCCTGAAGAGCTTTATTCTAAATAAATACGTCGGAAGTCCATATTTGTTCGGACGTCAGCCACAACAAATGCGTCTAAGAGTTTGATTTCAAAGCTGCCTTTGTGCAGTCTTTTAGCTCGAAGTGAAAATAGAGCCAAATGCAGAATGGAAAATATTTTACTTAGGTGAAAAGTGCGCTTGGATTTCATGAAAAGAAGCAATGATATGAACCACAAAACTATCTAAATGTCCGAAGGCCTCAATTATTTTCATTTGGCTGTAAAAAGGTTTAATTTCATAATAAGAAATAAAATATTTGATGAGAAGCTTAAGGGATAAAAACATGAGAAGACACTGAAATAGAAACTGAAAGATTACCTCCCACTGTCACTAAGGTAACACTGCTGTACTTACCACAGCAAATACTTCGACGCTGCAACGCCATGGAATTTATAATCGTCTAATAGTTACTATTAAAACCCTTTGTGTACACAAAATAAGAGCACAGTAGTTGGATTTACTAACGATGTCTTGTCACAATCTCTTCAAATCTGCAGTTAGCAAAACATGAGCTGCATGTCCGTTTAACAGCTGATGCTAAGTTGGCTACCTGAGCAGGTAGCCTGACTAATTGATAGCGTAGCACATTTTCTGTATATTTCAAACTGCTTTACATAAAAATCAAAAAGCGTATGAGTTTAAAATCACACGTATTTAAGCAAGATAAAACAGATAAAACACAAGGAAAAAAAATCATTGACTAATTAAATTAGAAATAAAAAAAAAAGATCAAACATCATGGAACCTCATGAAAGAAAAAGGACAATAGCAATAAGCATGTCTACTTAGAAACTACTAGTGCTTTTTAAAGTTAGCTTTTTTTTATTCAATTTGCTCGTGTTTACACATCAAAATTATATATATATATATATATATATATATATATATATATATATATATATATATATATATATATATATATATATATTTAGTATGGTAAAGAAAGTAGTATTATAACTAGAATAGCCAATATTTTAGCAACAGCAGGAATCTTTGCTTTTCTCTTTTAAACTTTCAGACCAAGTTGACAGATCATAGTTTTTTTTTTTTTTTTTTTTTTTTTTTTTATGCCTTTCATTTTTCCTTGTGTTTTTTTCCTTTTGCCGTACATAATTGTTTTGCTTTCTGTCAGCTGAAGCCTTATCTTTGCCATCTGGTCAGAGTGTGTGTAAAATGGACCTGCTGTGAGTGTCATGCAGCTGTTTTCTTCTGGCACCCACTGAGCAAGCTGGACCATGTTTTGTCATTCGCCCACCTGGTGGCGCTGCAGATTCACCGTCCTGTCGCCGAGGCAGCCCTTACCGACCCGCTCTTCCTCTGAGCGCGACGGGACACAAATGAGACGCGGTGTCGTCGCTCCCTTATTGGTTTACCCAGTGATGTTGATCCATCTGTTGCTCTTCATTAAATAACCTCAGGTGACAGTTAAAGGTCAGGTGACGCCATGTGAGCCGCCGCTGCTTGTGAAGCGCAAGTCAAATTTCTAAATGTTTTCTCTCAGTGCAATATTACTGACAAGGTCCTTCATCAGTCGGCACAGACGCTCCACATCCGTCACACTGGGATCATGAGTTAAATATTGTCGGAATATGTGTATGTATTTGATGTGAAATATTAAATATGTTATGTGAATCATATTTATTAAATTCTGTTGGGGAAACATAAATCATACTAGTTTTGTCATTTCACAGTGCAACTCGTGGAATAACTTTCTACGATCGCAGTGAAACCCAAGTGTTTGGTTTTGAAAGAATTGCTGTATGAAATATTTCAAGCGTATTTGAATTATTTATGGTGATTTATTTTTGTTTTTTTCCCTTCTATTGATACTCTACACAGTAAGACATGAATGTGTTTGAACTTAAATAAAGGCACTGAACCGTTTAATGTTTAACCCTCTTGTGGTCTTAAGCGATTGGCTCAGTTAGACCACACAAGTTTTTTAATTTTTTTTACTTTGTGCGCCATCCAGCAAGGACACTTACGCTTTTACAAGGGTTTTTTTCTGTGTCTGGTTTCGGGAACTGATGGGGCAACCCCCAAACCAACTCCCTGCTATCCGACTGTGACATCTGCCGCGCTCCTGAGGGTTAAAAAAAAGTTCAATATTTTGTGTGATTCATTTTAGAAAGAAAAACTCACATTCATCTCACATGGCGTTAAATATAGCAACACTTTCTTGCAATTTTAATGATTGTGGCTTAAAAAAAACTATTTAGTGTCTCAGAAAATCTACATACTATGTAGGATTCAATGCATAGGATATTTTAAAAAGAAATGTCCAGTCCTTCATAGCACGCCTTTTGCATGTGCCGTGGATTGAAGGGAGAGGAAGAGACCTAACAAGCTGGTCAGAAGGGACGGCTCAGTTTTGGACTATTCTCTGGATTCCTTTGAGGTGTTAGCTAGGATAAAATCAACGTAGGTCAACTCCTCTCACCCAGTGTGAGACAGTGGGATTCGTTAGCTGCTCCGTCAGCAGCAGACTGATACACCCACAGTGTAGGAAGGCGAGACGCCGCAGGTCAGTCATGCCAACTGCATAACACCTACAACCAGTAACGTAGCACCAATAACCTGCTTGCTGCTATATTTGTTTGTTCATGTAGCACAACTCAGCAACAAGACAGTTCAAATTGCTTTTCATCATAAAAACATCATACAACATCAATTCTGAAATAATAAACATTTTGTCAAACATGTTATCAGTGTTTCATTTACTACTTATTAAAGGAAACTAAACGGTGAGGTTCCAGCCTCGATTAAAAGAAACTTTGTTTCAGTTGTTTTGCAGTTTTCTGGATGTTTGTACTTCTTATTACCACTATAGCTCTGTTACCTCTCGTCCATTAGACCATTGTATATTCATCTTTTTATATCTTACATTACAGCTAACTGTGATTTTGTTTATTGTCATCACCATGTCTATTTTTTGTGTTGATTTCCAAAATTCAGGATTAATAAAGTGTATCATTCAGTCAGTCATCTTCTCATTGACAATAGTGAATTTGTTGACCAACCAAGCAACAGCCCTTGGGCAGCTTTTGGTGCCTTTGGCAGTGTCAGCAGGTGCCAAGTCATACTAGAAATTGAAAGTAGCATCTCCAAAACGTTTATCATCGAAACAAAATATAAATTACCCAAAGGTGAGGAACGTGACTTTCGTCAGCCTCGGGTAGCGACTCTTGGTGCTCTGACTCCATCTTCGCTCCACTCCTTGTGAAGCTCCTTCAAATCCTTCACTTGATTTTGTTCAACAGTCATGTCAGTGCAGCGGTTATCCTTTTTTGCAGGCGCTGCTTTTCCTACCAGACTTTTTCCTTCCATTCAACTTTCGATAGAAAATGCTTGGATACAGAACTCTGAACAACCAGCTCAGGGAACCTTGTTTTGAGTTAATTACCTGATTAAGGTGTGATACCACAAGTTTCCATTATTTAACTTTTCCTCCAATATTTTAATTTTCTAAGATACTGAAAATTGGATTTTTGTTATCTGAGTCATGAACCTCAAATTTTCTCTGTGTGTAATGAAACTATATAATATGAGTTTCCTTTTCTTTTCACTTTGCCATAACAGAACCAATCAGCTCAACATCATGGAATCCACCGTGACTTTTACCGTGTTTGATAAAAATGTTAGACCATCTCTGAAATGACTCAAGCTGAAGCAGAACTGGATCTGAAATGCGACCGAGAACATGGCAGTACTTCTACCCAGGAGTGGCAGAGAAATGACAAATGGAAAGTTCTGGGCTTAGTCAAAGTCCAGACCTTGTTTTGTCTGACATGCTGTGGTAGGTTTTCTTTAAACAGGCGTTTTGTTGTCAGAGCTCAGATCCTGGACTTGCATCTAAACTGAACACAGTGGCAGACATTCAGTTTTAGCCATTTTTAATATCTGCTTTTTATATATATATATATTTGGACTTTTCAAGTTTGGTCTGCCAATAACCGATCAAGGACATATTTGCCAACTTTGATCTCTGCCAATGACTGATGCATCTCTCAACCTGCTCAGAAGGCTAATATTAGTTCATCTAACATCACAACCTAATATCAGTGTCATTAACACAGTTTATATTTATCTGCATAAACCAAACACTGGTATTACCAGCGGTGTGGCATGGCCACTTTATATCCCGGCGTTAATTTTGCCTGCAAGTTTTTTAGAATGCAGCCTGTGCTGCTTTCATTCGTTTTTGGTGAGCAGAGGAAAGTCGCTTCTTCTTGGACTTTCAGACTCCTTCTGAACTGTTTAGAAATTCTCCAGCTGCCGCCGTCGGTTTCTGCCCCCGTGAGGGCGACGCATTAGTAAGCCATCGTCGAGCCTGATCGGCTCCTTTTCCGCCTTTCAGCGGCTGTTTGTTGCAGCTCAGTGAGCGCTTCCCAAAAGGCGTGCATGCTCAGTGAGTCCACTTCTCACTCGCTGACAGCCAGACTTAAATGTGAGGTTTCTGATAGATGCCTTGCTGTGCTCATCA